CACTAACGCGCATGTTCAGCTAAGATTACTGTTGGATGCCTACCAAGCAGCAGTGACCTGGGTTGAGTCGGTTTCCGCGCAAGGGTAAGTTCTTATGTCCAAGATTTATTTTGCAATTTTCTATTGGTTATCATTAGATCCCATCGACCGTGGTGCCTTAGGACACCTCATGAAATTTACATAACGTAGTTTTCCTTGGTTAGGTTCTATATTTGGGTTGGGGTTGATGCTCTAATGGAAAAGACCAACTTACGCACCTTAAGAATTTCCACACGATGGAGAATATTTACTTTGGTGTGCATCGATGTAGCACAAAATTCACAAAACTTTGCTGTTGCACTACAGTCCAAGCAACGACAAATGCCATTTTCCGAGTCACAGAAGTGACACCTGTTGCTGTTTACAAACGAACCTTCTTTCTGGAAAGTGGTCGAAAGAGCAGCTTGCCGTAACTTAGCCCATGCATCTTCTGCTCTTTGCAGTCTTTCATAATGACGAGTATTCAAGCTTACAGATGAAGATATTGCTGGCTCATTGCTGACATCGAAATCCTCAGCACAATCACCTGCATCCACGTTGTAATCGTCGTGATCATCTTGCTCATCAACATTAGTCACATTAATAAGCTGTTCGCTCCTTCTCACTGCAGTGTCCTGATCGTGATAGCGAACTTGAATTTCAGCCTTAAAGCGCTTCTTCCTGCAACCAATGCAAATGAACTGGTCAACCACAGAAGAAAATTGTTATAAATAAAAGGCCGGGTATGGGCTGACTGCAAGGCAAAACGACTACGAGGCGAAAAACGTAAACGAATAAAATATTATGAAAACAAAATAAAGGCTTTTAACAACTTACCGGCCCATTAAATACTGCTTTGCCCGTTAGACTTAATCTCACCTCAATGTGCTGTGTCGGATTGTGTAATATGAGGGATAAAGGTGAATTACATCCACGTTTATCCATCATATTGCACAATCCCTTACAGCACTTATTAGTCGTACTATAGTACGTACTTTGATGGGTGATACCCGGTAATTTGGGCATCATTTTTACGGGTGATACCCAGTACCCTCCGTGTGAATCGGGTGGAGTCGTGTGTTTACTCAGATCTTTTACCACCGGGTGGTCAGCGGCATTCAAAGGGGGTATTCCTTTGCACAGCGTTGATTGGTTATCTTCTGATTGGAAAGTTACAGGGGGACTTATGTTAACTTTACCAGAATGAGCAAGATTCAGAGAACGAACGTAGCAAAAAATCTATGTAATGTTGACCCGAAAATCCTCATAAAAGTTAATTGTTCCATGACTACCCACCTGCTCGTCCTTTCTTCTAATTCTGCGATCCTAAACAGGCGTGGATCCACACCGGTTTCCACCGTTTTACGGAAATCGGTCAGGAAAGGGGACTTAAAGGAGTTAAAATCCAAATAATTTCCTGGGGGGGGAGCCTCCCTCCGAACCCCCTTAGAAGCGCCTTTGGCGCTCATTTTGAAAATCGGTCAGTATTTATCCTAGATCTGCGCCTGCTAACAGCCCGAAAACGTTCCCTCCCAAATATGGTGTCCAGTAAAAGAACGTAAAAACGGGTACTATGAGCGAAATGAAAGAAGAGGGAAGAAGAGAAAGGGAAAGGAAAAGGGAAAAGTCGAGAGGGCTGTGTCTCGGGGGGGAGGGGTACTTGCTTATAAAAGGCTAATGGGGATGTGCCGCTGGATGGGGTCGCATTTTCACGACAGGATTGACTATGATGGGGTGGCATTTTCAACAGAGTTACTAGAATGGCCCCTTATTTACGGTTAGCAAACGTACCAGAATGCTTGTACTGCAGATCATGAAAAATGGGTCAGTTCATAAAAATAGAAAGTGACTAAGTTGGGATCGCGAAAATTACGTATTTACAAAAGTGACTAAGATAGGGTCTATAATTGGCCACAGAATAGGCTATAATGGGGTAGGGGCTCTTAGAGGCCAGTGGCACATACCCAGCAAAATTTAACCCAGGTACCCCCCGCCCCCCACCCTTCCCCGGGGCTGTGTAATTTTTTAACCCTAACTTTTGCTTTCTGTGTGCATGCCCAAAGTTCGGAAACTGATATTTTGCATCTAGAATAGCGCTCGACACTCATTCAAAGTCATTCATTCTTTCATTCTTTCTTTCATTAATTAATTTATTCACTTTATGCTTTTTTTTTATCGTAAACTTTGTCAAAATCTTAAATCCTAAGCTGTGGTATTACTTCTCTGAAACTAGCTAGCGTCGATGTCCTTGCCCCGGAGGATAAGGACCATGAGCGCAAGGCGTTTATAGTCAGTATGCCTAACAGTCACTTGTTTTCTCACCTTTTCATGTGTATGGTGCAGGAGCTGGCGCTTAAAGGGGCACTTTTTTCCTCGCCTCGCCTCGGCAGTAAACGGCAGGGTCGGGCACAAGAGAGACCTCTCCTGGTCTATGGCTGCTACTGCCCGGGTCATACATGGTTGCATGTGCACATGCGTAAGTTCTGACCATACCACGAAGTTGACAGTGTGGGCTGAGATTCCATTGGTACAAATCACGAGCTTGTTTGACTCTTGTTAACAAAGTTTTCCTCTACTAGCTTGCCTGGCTGTTTCTTCGTGCCCGTTTTTGCAGTTTTTTCCATATCGCAAACCGACAGCTACGCACGCTATCCTCTTAAGAATAAAACAGTTTTCCAGCTAGGACACATTCTCTCTAAAAGGCTCTTTTTTGGGCCATTCTTGCTTAAGTCGTATTTATCACGTTTGTTCGCTTTGGTTGGGACAGACCTTTCTTTCATCATCCCGTATCACGTAGCTCCATAGCCCGCCAGTAAGGGCTTTGCAGGGGGACGGGGGTGGGGGTGGGGGCGGGGTTAGGAGAAAACTCCCTTTCTACCCCGCCCCGAGAGCCCCCACCGGGAAGATTGCAAGCAGGACATTAGCCAACTTTGTTGGCAAAGTTTGGAACACTATAAACACTATAAAAACATGCAATTTCTAAAAGTCAAGATAGCAATAAAACAAACAAACTAACTATTCTAATTACGGTTATTAAAGTAAATGTCAAGGAGGCTAGACGGTCCATAAAAGGCGTTTTGAGTAGGCCATTTGCGAGTGCCACAGGGCCTCTGTATCAAAGTAAGCGCTCAGCCTTTGATTCGGAAATGATTTTTCATTTTCAGGCAAATTAAACTCATTTTCACAAGAAATGTTGTGCACTTGGCCTCATTTTGAAAAGGAGGGTTTTCGGGACTCGGTAGCCTGCGAACAAGCTCTCCTATTTGGGCGAGCGAAGAAAGACGCGCGAGAACGCGCGAGCGAGCACCAAGTAGAGAGCTTGCTCGCAGGATAGGGAATGGGAAGTAGCCTATCAGTTCTGGGGACGAAATTCTATAGCCGTTCAAAAATTCAAATTATATGAAACTATTTTGACCGTGGCTTTGATTCCTCTTCGCATCTCACAAAAAATTTGAAGTGGGATTTTTTTTCCGTTGAATTTTGATTGACCACCCTTGGGAATAAAATTTTAACAATTTTGTAAAAAAATTAAAAGTATTACTCTTTCTGGTATGCTTTGTGGACGATGACGCCGACACAAACCGCGTGTGAATGGTTGTATATTGTAAATACCAAGGTTTTATACCGTAATTTGGAGAACGAGTTTCCCTCGTGCGCGGCCTGATTTATTTTTCGAGATGTTTTGTATTACTGATATTCCTATTGTGAGCTTTCGTGTTAAAGAGGGATAAAAAAATCAAGCATTCTACCGTTTGTGTAAATTTGTTCTCAACAGCCAATAAATTTTTTTGCACAATTTTTATAGTTTCTTTGTTTTACTCTCTTGTGTGTTTCACACCTCCCTGGTATAACCACGTGTGCAAAATGACACAATGGCTTTTGTTTTTTTGCTATAAAAAGTACTGTTTGTCTCTTCTTTGTCACATTATTGCTCCAACTTTCAAGCTTACGTTTGGTGGTCTGTAGCCTTTTCCCGTCAGTCATGGGTTGTGTTCTTCTTTTAAGCATTCTGGCACTAACTTTCTATGCAATGCCGATTTCAGGTAAGATTCACAAAAATTGTTATGTCTTCAGTAATTCTTGCCGGCTTGGCTTTCAAAAGTGCGTTCCTTGCTCTGATTTGAAGCCGTTTTGAACCTCTCCGTAGTTCTGTGGCGCTCAACTTAAGGATAGTTTAGCAAAGTTCTGCGTAATCTTTAGTTTAAACATACAATTTTACCACATTAAGGTTTCTCTACCGGCTTTCAGTTGTTCCTTAGCGAGAAACTGAAACTTTCCATACTTTATTTCTACTCTTTTACCCAGAAAAGTTTCACTTCCCTCAAGAATGAATCTGATGCACTTTGTATTTTTGTACTGAAACGCCTTCTGGCAACTGACAAATTTAAAAGTGTGGTTATTAAGTTTCCGTTTTCGTTGAAATTTTTGTTAGTGCTTCATTCATAGCTTATCATCATACTGTATTGGAGAAAAATATGACTTAGCAGATTGCAATATCTCGCATTGTTTAAAAAACTTAGACATGCTTCGCGAAAAAATTCTCGATGGTATTTAGAGCCCGAATGTGATTTTTTGAAATTAATTTTAAACACCTTGATCTTAAGTTCCATACAGGACTGAACAAGCTCCAAAACTTGTACACAAACTGCGTAACAGCAAATACTTCAAGTTTTACGTTAAACTTCTTCAGTCCTACCACCCATTAACTACCCTTTTTACAAACTCTATATTTTCTCTTTAAAGATCGACGAGCTCGCGTATAAAATAAAAACCGCAGGGGATTTATTGAACGCTAGCACGTGGCTTTCTCGCGCTCCGCCCTCGTTGCCGCGTTCCGCGCTAACTCACGTGTTCGTCGATTTTCGAAAGGAGAAAGAAAACGTCTTTGTACGGGCTACATTCTAACACTGACTTGACTTGCGTAGCAAGACCTAGCAACAACTGAAGTCAATAGGAAATAAATCGTTTATTTTTCAGCTAAAATGGAGGAAAACAAAGCTCACATCACTTTCTCCGGTGACGAAGACTTTAAGTGTAAACTGTTTCCGTTCAAAGAGAATATCACTAACGCGCATGTTCAGCTAAGATTACTGTTGGATGCCTACCAAGCAGCAGTGACCTGGGTTGAGTCGGTTTCCGCGCAAGGGTAAGTTCTTATGTCCAAGATTTATTTTGCAATTTTCTATTGGTTATCATTAGATCCCATCGACCGTGGTGCCTTAGGACACCTCATGAAATTTACATAACGTAGTTTTCCTTGGTTAGGTTCTATATTTGGGTTGGGGTTGATGCTCTAAATCCGCAGTGGTCTAGTGGTTAGCGTGGCACACTAGGTTTTCTAGGTCGTGGGTTCAAATCGTACCGCTTTTCATATCATAATTTTAGCTATTTTTTTTCTTCCTTCAAATTGAAGAGACTTGTACTTTCATGAACATTTCAGGCTTGAAATATCATTTAAGTGTGATATAAAAGCAAGAAAACGGTTCTACCTTGTGTAAATTTCATAAGGGGAGAAAGGGGTTACGGCGGATGGGATCTAATGCTGACCTTCTCTATCAAGCAAAGCGAGGATATGGCGGGACTAACTTAGCGCTATTTACTTATAACACTGAAGCTATGAGATTAAGACTTGGATATAATTTACAGAACGTTTATAGCAGTTTATAATGTCATGGGTCACAAATTACTCCTTAATTCTGGTTGAAAATATTTCGGCGTTTATTTATAATTTACATGTGAAATTAAAAAATTGCCATGACAATGTTTCGTGTGCCTCAGTATCAGACATAAGTCTACAGTGTTAAAATCTAAAAAGTAGTGCTTTACAGTTGAAATTATTTTTAATATTTTAATCATATTTTTGATTTTATAAAACTTGTTATTTTACTGTCAGTTAAAAGTAATGGAAAGGAGTTGACCGTTACTAATAAAGCCAACGTTTTCCGGTATTAATATTTACTCGAAAGAACAACACTGTGCTTCAGCCTGAGTTGTCGATGAAACTTCCTATCCAAATGATATGATAGTAGATTCCAGTAGTCAGTAACCTTTTCTTATTTTGCTCAGGTTCGTACAAAAAAGGAAAACAGAAGTGCGGATTTAAAAGCTTGTTGTTTTTTAAAGCCTTTCTCTCTTCGAAAACCAAGTATTAAAAATAACAAATATCACAGTAAACAACAACAATGTACCAAATTAATAAACCGCAATACTTCTGGGACGGTGCGGCGATTATTCGGGGATGGTGCATGCTTTTCCCAGTTTAAGGTAAGCGTTAATTGCCAAACTGCTAAAGCCCCATAAAGGCCCCCTGGAAGGGCCAAAATTGCTCCAGGATCTTGCGCTTTGACTAGTGGCTGTTTTCTTATACAATCTTTTTAATTTCCCTGTAGTTTTACTGGATGTGTCGCTATCTCCGGACCGAAATTGTTCAAAACAATATATCTGACTTGGATGGCTTTTGAACCTTCAGATGTAGTCCCCATCGGGGGTCTTGTTAGACAGGAGAGTATTCCCTTGTGGACAACAGGAACCATATGCATCGAAATTAATAGTGGGAACCAGGTAAGTGCTGTAAAAAATAATCTTATTATTTCACCTTTGACATCGGTATGGGTTTAGAAAAAATATTACACCATGCGTCAAAGAGTTAAAGAGGGTAATTGTTTTCATTTTTTAGGTCTCTGATTTCTAGGATAGTTTGCGTGGACAAGCGTTATGATTGGTCGATGATATTCAAGGCAACCAATCAAAAGTAACACTATCCCAGAACTCGTTGCACCGAAAGCTTCTACCCAGTTCCCCTAAGTTTTTGGAGTGGGGAATTAAATTATAATAAATGTAGGCTTACGTGTGTTGTCTGCGGGCAGAAATGTGTCATAGGTGTGGTTTACACCTTAGATGACTACACCAGAATACGAAAAAGTGGAAATCGCACTCAAAAGCTGTCTTAAGCATTTACTGGACTGTAGACTGCACAAACGGTTTTTTCTCCTAATCGGTTTAGCGTAGCGTAAGAATAGCGTAGTCTCGCTCTCTCATGCGCGCGTACTTGAATAGGCAAAATAGGGATTGTTTTGTAGTGTAACTGGACTGTAACACAAGAACATAGCTTACCTAGTGTCGTAGCATTGGCGCTGTAAATCAGCCACCCCCTCCGCCTCCGCGCACCTTTGTTCGGACGAAAAATTTGTGGGTTCAGCCTATAGGTTTGACTTTCCAGTCGAGAAGCTGGTATACAACTCACGGTGGATACAATTCGACTCGCTAGATAACTATATTGTTATACTACTAGGGCCTAAATGTGAAGACAATTCCACAGTTCATCATCTCCAACATTTCTTTTGATTTCCAGTTTTCCGGCAACAAGCCGAAGGTATTCCTTACCGTTGTTCACACAGATCCACCCAAAAATATCCATGATGCAACAAGCGTATGGGCTGAGGAAGTTACTCCAATAAAATTTAAAGTTTGTCTCCGGGAGTTGAAGAACTTCGACGGCGTCCATGAAAACATACGAGTGGTAAGTACCGAAACGTTTTCATTTTTATTCACCAAGAGTTACTATAGAGCGTTTTCGCTCACGTGGCCAGCATCAAGTGCAAATTTATTGGAACAAAGGAAAGCGTTTGCATAAAAAGGAGTTCAACTCCCACAGGATTGATTCGAAACACCGACATGGCCGTCGTTTCATTGTTTTGGGACACCAATATGGCCGCCGTGACGTCATGTGAAAACACTTTTGTTTTGGTTCATCAATATGGCGGACGTGACGTCACTGTGAAAACGCTCTATAAAAAATTACGACTCTTATCAATAGTGTTTCTTCTCCTTTTAATTTACTTCTGAATGCAAACACTAATGTCGCCTACACTGGGATCCCTATCAACTTAAAACTAAAGCTCTCACAAGTACCGGCGGAAATTTGTCTGAAATTTGAAAGGGTTGCAAAAAGGCCTTCTTCTCTACCGAATTTTTTAATATATTCACTTCATAATGATGCTAACACTTTTAAGATACGTCTTCAGTTCTAATATTTAGCGGTTTTTCCGAACTCGAAACTGGTCGATTATTGGAGGCATTTGAATCTCGTTTTCAGGCCATGAATCAAATTCATTTCGAATGAATTTAGAAATTATTTCAATACTGGTTTTAATATAAAGGTTTCAGTTATGAGTAAAGATCCCTCAAAGCCACAACACTTTCCGAAAATCAAACCAAACTATAATCGTCCTCATGAAATTTGGTTAATTTGTGTAGTGTTTAAGTGAGGCAAGCAAAGTTTGGCCAGTTAGTTCTCAAAGTTTTACTAAACTTAATTATTTATCTCATAGAACGTGTTAGCATTATCGTCTAAACCAAGTGCCTGGGACATTGTCAGCTTGAATGACGTTAATATGCCCAATACTGGATTTCCGAGTGAGAAGTACGAATACAGCTTTTGTCAGGTTAGTGCAAGAGGCCAAAAACAGTCTAGCATCTCGGGTCTAGTATACAGTAAAGGAACAAGACTGCAACACACTGAAATGACGCCCGTAATAGAGTTAATTGGCCGCGCGTGATGGACTTTATGTCACCTCCTTTGAGTACAGCATCGCCGCCGTAATGGTCAAGCATTTTCATATCCCTCAGAGTTGAAAAAGGTGTCAAGAATGGGTTTTCTCCGATCACTGGCGTGTCGCGCTTAGCCTGGGCCATATGAATCCCGGTAAAGAAGAAAACTTCACTCGATCCGCAACTTACAGATTTCACAGACTTCAAACTCGTTTAGAAAGGAGTACATAAGTTTACCCGCCTTTATCTTTTCAACAGCAGCCATTCCTTTCCGAGGTCGACTTTTTATAAATATAAAAAGTTTTACTTTGTCTTGTCTTGCAGACGGTCACTTTCGATCCCAAGTATTACTATGTTCCCAAGGTTATGACAACAGCTGCTCATGACAAACTGCTCATTGAACCTGACAACAATGCAATCACTGAGTGGGTTACGGTGAGTTTAGATGGAATCTTTCTGAATGTCTCGAGTTCTTTCTACCAGTAACATATTACAGACCTTTAGATTCTAAGACAAGGACGACTACGACAACGAGATTTTCTCGATACTAAGCAGTGGGACCCGGGGGGCCTGCCCCCCCCCCCCTTATTTTTAGACCAAACTGAGGCCCGAAGGGCCCAAAAAAATTTTTTTGGAGACCGCTCCCGCTCCACCCCTTTATCTAAGGGTCTGGATGACAAGGCTCTTCCCTTATCTCAACGTCTGGATCCGGGACTGCCAAGTCTGGTTCACAGCTTTACTCGTCCTGCACAACCCGAGCGATAATTTCTAACCCTCGTGCGCCCTCCAGAAAAGCTTGCTTGTAGACTACGTAAATTGTAGTTCAAACAAGCCATATCTTAAATCAGAAACTCATAAGGGGTTGAAAACCCCCTATGAGTTTCTGCTTAAATTCAAAGGAATATATAGCACGTTTTCCGTACGGTTATTTACCATTTGCTTTGGCACTGAAATTGGCTGTTTTAAACGGCTAAAGTAAACACCGTTCCACTTCTTTCAACTAACAGAAACGAAATGTAAAAAAGTTAACAGTTACGTTTTGCGTTACGCGGGTAACTTGGGGATACAGCTCGAAATTTCATTGGTTCATTGATTTGCTTTCGTTTGCCGTGATTGGCTAAAGTCGTTGCTATGGATTTTGGTTGCTGTGTTTATTGCATTTGGTAATTGTATTATTGGCTGTCATGTTTCTTCATGTGCTTTTTCAGTCTGTGGACAAGGAAACGTTCGAGGTTTGTTTGAAGGACATCCAACGCTATGATGCTCAACATGACGCAGTCACTATCAATCTTATGGTGATTGGACGTGAGTAAAAGTTTTTAGCAATGTCCATAATAACCCTTCATAATACATAGTACCAAGCAAATTCAAAATTCAAAGATAATTATTACGTTTCCAAATCTCAGAAGATAAAGATTGTCACGTGACTGCACTGCTAATGATCAGTAGAGGCAGGGCAATGTTCATTTTTTTTTGCACTGAAAAAAATGCCATTCTAAGGTGCTTAGTTAGATCTCCAGAATCATCAGCTGAAATCTAGCACTCTATTTAATGGCTTTTAATATTATTTTGCTTGTAAAATCCCCAAGGCTACCATCTCGTTTACTAAGGGCACGATACAATTTTGCTGTAAAAATGGCAAATATTCGCTCTCGCATTAAGACAACTTCTTTATTCAAATTTGACGTATTTAATGTTTTTGTTCCTTTCGCGAGCTGTGTTTCTTAAAGTTATAAATAAAGAGGACGCGCTCTTTTTTGGGAAGACTGAACACTTTTATACATTGCTTAACACAATACGGCTTAAACCCTGATATATGTAAAAAAGATTAAGATATAGTTCTTAATATTAACAGTGCTGCAAACACCTCCGTTTTTTGATAGTCTAAATTTAAGGCAGTGGTATAAATTGATGTATTTGTTAGTTGCTATCTTCAGTAGCCTTGCAGCTCTTTAGAACCTCTTACTTAATTCGATCCCTATGGGTCGCAGTTCTTTTGTTCCCTTATTTTTTCTTCCTCGAGTTAATTATAAATTTCCCTCAACAAACGAGGCTTAGGAGAATGAAACAAAACAAATTTGAGGCTCACGGATAAATATAACATATCCTTTGTTTTATTTCGCCCAGTCCTCGGAACCGGCGTTAATTTTAATGTATCGAAACTAGTCTTATCTGTCGGTTACAGGAATTGATCCATGTGACAAAGCTAACTGTTCTCCGGACAAATACTGCGTCGTGAATGAGAACAACTGGTCGTATACCTGCGTCTGCAACACCTGCGATAAAACCAAGGCAGAGGTTTGCGACACAAATGGCGTTACGCATCTCAACTTATGTACGCTTAACAGATTGATCTGCCTCGGACAAACCAATGCTACTAAAGACCATGATGGAGCCTGCGCACGTGAGTATTACTCGAGTTATTTGTTTGGTATCAAAGAGGTGTCAATCTATAAAAGTGCCATGGCAACGTTCCGTTCGTCTCAGTGCCAAGATGGCGTCGAAGTTTTAAAATCTTATGATGTCAGGGCTTTTGTGAACTTAAGCCAAAATTTAAGCTCTAATTTTTTCAGTGCTTGGAGTTCTCGATACGAAAAACAAGTAAAAATAAAAAAAAAACGATTGTGAGGTTAATTTAAGTGTCACCCGTTTTCTTAATAGGTAACCAAATGGCAAACTCTTGAAATTAGGGAATCATTTTACGCACGTTTTGTCCATTACACATACTTTAAATCAAATAAATGGACCATACTGTCCTATAAAATTTGCAATTGCTTACAACCGAAGCTCGTGTCAGCAGATCAGCAGAGTTAAAAAAGGAGACTGGTTAGGAAAAAGATCAAAGATAGGAGACAACAACGCTACAGTTTGTGATGGGAGTTCCCTGACGCTGCACAATCCTTTGTTTTTTTGTTCAAAAATTGACGGAATAAATTAAGCGTCATTTTTATTGGTCAGTAAGATCAAAATAATACGAATGCTATTTACCTTGTGCACCTTCAAGTCCACAAAAACATACCGTAAAATGCCGAAAATAAGCCCCGGGGCTTATAATTTTCAAAGGCCCTTTTGGAGGGGCTAATATTCGGAGGGGCTTATGTACGGAGGGAAATTTGCGTTTCAGAATCGATTGGGCTAGCTTGTAGTGGGAAGGAAATTTACCATTTTTGCTTTGTTTTACTTTGTATTCGAGGGCAAATTCCAAGTACCAGCCCCCCAGGGGGCTTATTTTCGGAGGGGCGATTTAACGGAGGGTTTTTTGAGTTACGATTTTGAGGGGCTTATATTTGGAGGGGCTTATACATAGAGGAGCTTATTTTTGGAATTTTACGGTAGCTAAAGAGTCTGACGGGTTACGTCACCATTCAATTAAATTCTTGAGAAGACAGTAGTCTCTTTAATAATTTGCCAGCGCGATTTTCAACACTGTGTAAATTTATCTTATTCTTAGCATTTGTCATGGAACGTGGGCGCGTGGCATTGCGTTTGAGCACAACCGATGTGCAATGCAAGACGGTCAACTTCAATCCTACAAGTTTTCAGAGTAACGAAGCGAGAATCAACGTGCATACATCTATCAACTACTTCAACTATTCGGGCAATTTCATCCATGACGCCGCGGTTACATGGATCGAGAGTGTAACTTTCACGAGCTTCAAAGTGTGCGTTCTCAAAGCAGGGAGGGCTGAACGTTTGACCCCTGACAATGGCGTAACGTTTGTGGACTACATCGCTTTCCAAGAGTCGCCTGCCGGCGCAGAGAGCAGCCATCTGAGCATGGACAATTGGTGGGATGGAACAACATGCAAGTCCGTTACCTTTGATGTGAGTAAAAACTACGCTTGCAATACTAGTGGTCCAGTATTGTACATACATTCAATAGCGGGAGAGAAATCAGCACACTTTAGCCTTAATTTGGGATTTTTATCTCGGGATCAAAAAGTTTAGACCACCTTGTACAACTAAAAAAATAGTACTACAGGAAAGCATTACTCAACAGTTAGTTTCATTTAAATGGCCACAAGATAGGATTTTTTTTTCCAATCAATCAAAAGTTAGAATCATCTTATAACGCACAATTACTGACAGAGCTAGTCTACAGTAACTTTTATCTGAATGGTTACACTTCCAGATTTCATCCACATGCACAAACTCAAAAGTAAGAAACCTCTCGCACAGAATTATAAACAACACAAAAAGGAAAGTACAGCTGACAGTAGCTGTAATCAGAACGGTCAGACTCATGGACTTGCTCCAGTCATTCAAGTTAAAACCCACTCGTATAGTGTAATAAACGGTACTACACGAAAGTACTGGTCAGTAGCTTTCACTTGAATGCTCCCACTTTAGGGTGTTATACACAAAAGTTAGTATACAACCACCTCGAATAGGGAAGTATTACACAGTATAGCTTCCATCTGAATAGTCACACATCCTCGGAGTTTCTCTACCGACTCGGCAGCGTAATGAACAGCTTCGCACATCCAAATTCATCAGGCCCTTCCTCTGTTATGTTGCAGACAAGCTACACCAAGACACCCTATGTTTTCCTAAGCGCAGAACACTCGGTCAAGGGAGTCAAGCATGACGCTGCTACTGTTTGGGTTGAAAACGTGAATACCAAGGGTTTTCAGGCATGTTTGAGAGAACTGCAGAACTTTGATGGCCTACACGAAAACATCACAGTGGTGAGTTGAACTGTTCACTGGAGTAGGGATGATTCTCTATCGCGACAAAGTTACCCTCCAATTCTTCAGTTGCCAAAACATTACAAATTTTCTCTAGTCTGACAATAACAAACTTTATTTACTTTAAAAAACATGAGATGCTGGTCCGTAAAGTGGCAGAAAAAGTAATCGAGGCGGGCCAGTTTTAAGATTAGTACGGTCACATGACCTCTTATGCAAATGCCAAATTGGATGCGCGTTTTACGACGTAATAGGCATTAGCCAATGAAAATTCGGCGCAGAGCGCTTTAATTAAAGGATGACAACATAAAAATTTCACCCATGTCTCCTGATTCAAGAGCTGAGTCCACTTCTGTCGGCAAATCGAAACCATGGACAGTTGTGTAAAAAATCATTGCATGCACGCGCATGTTACAATAGGCTCAATGACCAGCGGCTGATCTGGAAATGAGCCCGCGCTTCTCTCTTCTGGGGAGGACAGAGAGAGCGGTGGAAATCAGCAGTGATCAAGCCTTGTGTCATACTCCTTTTGAGCCAAAAAGTCACTATTCACCAGTAGTTGCCTTTTCTTATCTGTTTTTAACATTGTCTGCGACTTGCGACTCGTTCACTCGTAGATTCATAGACTTGCTACAAGTCGACCTCTTAGCGAGCGGAGCGAGCCTTGTTTGGCCGCGAAGCGGCCGAACGCGAGCGACGAAGTCGCGAGAGCTTCGTCCCGCGCCATATGAAATCCGACGAAGGGCTTTTTGAAAGTCTAGTAGATTCACTATGCTTTATTTCTTGCTTTGTTTTAGAACTGGGTTTCTTACCAGACTCTAGAGAAAGCCGCAGAACTCAACATCACGCAACAGAGAATCAACTTTGATAATGATGACGTATTACCTAAACCCGGATATCACAACGCTTTCTGCCAGGTGGAAACTCTTTGCATTAGTTTTGGAAAGAGAGTGACCTTAATTTGAAAATGAATTAAAGGAACTGTGTCACAAAATTAATCAAATTTCGAACAGTGGGAGCTTCGCCAAATTAAGTGAAGCATAAGAATAACAGCTCAAAACATTAAAATAAAGTATAAATAACAGAGAAAATGAAATGCGAAAAGAGGCATGGATAGACAAACGTGAAGAAGCAAATTTGTGGTTTTTGAAAACTTGTTTGCCTGACAGTTTTTCAAGGTTTACTTTTGTTGTCTGTAAGTAACGTTTAATTTGATGCTTGGGAGATATTTACTTTGTCATGAGCCTGTGGTTTTGTAATTTGCTAGTAATTTCGTCGCCAAAGTATACTGCGAGTAGTCCCCCATTTTCCCTCAGGGATAGTAGACCGAGCGAAACGCAAGCGCGTGACTATCACCCCACGCGAGAAAGGCGATGATTTTCACGCGCGCTCGCGTTTCGCTCGCTCTATTCCTGAGGAGAAAGTGAGGGACCACTCGTAGTTTATCACTAAAGCTAAGTTACATTTCGAATAAGCGTGACACAGTCCCTTAAACATGCATTTCCTGAATTATAAAAAAAATTACAAAATTGATTTTTTTTGTAGGAGGTTAGCTTAGGAAAGTCTTACTCGAAAACGCCCACCATCATCGTGTCAGCGTCTCACACCCCTGGAGTCGTACCCGAGTACAACAGTATTGCACCCTGGATAGAGGTACTGCATATCGCAAATTAAAATTCTTTAACCATTAGTCCAAGTAAGAATCTGACCAGAATTTCAAATCAACAAACTAGCAACTTAACGGATAGCCCCAAAGCAATTCATTCTTTCAGAGCTAAATGATTGTCGAACAGCCATTCGTCACCTTGCGTTTATCATTCGTTGCATCATGTTTTACAAGCGACATTCAGTTTAGGGAATTGTACGTTATTTCCCATTCAATTTTTCCCCTAGACCATTGTCTAAAGAAAAATTAGACTTGCTACAATTCGTCCTCTCATAAGTTCTTATGCATGAGGTCGCGCAGCGACCGACCAAGCGACGAAGTCTCGAGGTCTTTCTTTTAGAAAGTCTTAAGAAAAATGGGCTTCCACAGAATGCGAACAAAAACACGTCGCTCAAATATCTTATCAACTGGTTTGCTTGCAAACTGTTGTAATTTTGTAGGCGCTATTTCCTCATGAGCAGGACATCTGTCTTAATTCAGGCCTGTAAAATGTGTACTTTATATTATAATTACAAAATGTTATCTTTTTCAGGCCATTAACGGAACTTACTACCAACTGTGCGTTAAAGAAATTCACAATCCAAATGGCTATGACCCTGTTAAAGTTACGGCATTGATTGTTGGTGAGTCTTTAGTTTTTTTGGCGATATCCGGCCGTACTAAATAAAATTTAACTCCAGATTTCACACATTGTCTTTTTAGACGATATGTTTCTATTGTCAGTAATTGGTCTGCTTTGTGGATTTTCAAACAACAAACAAACAACAACTAACAACTCTGAAAGACCAGGCCTAACTTGAAATCAGTCCCCTATACAAAAAAACACAAGTTTTAACCACATGTCAAATCGTGATCTGAGTTCAAATTCATCCCTAGAACCAAATAATGAGTTACAGATTCGACAATTTTAAAATTCGTCGAAAAAAATTTTCTCTTTCACAAAGAAACCATGAAGTCTTGCTATCGAAGCTTGTTAACTACTCTCCAAGTTTTATGCATCACAAGATGAAATTTAGCAGCCAATTTGCATTGCTCGTCTGCGGGTTACACACTTTTAGTATTACAAACACGTTTTCAAACTACTTTAACTATAAAAAAAAAAATGCTTCATGGCCACGATCTTGGTTTTCAAAGAGATAATCTAATCCACATTCTCTCTCTCTTTTTTTTTTTCAGGTTCCTGAGTTCACCTGACAAATATGGCGCTTCTTATGATCTTTATATGAAGATATTCTTGGACGACTTAATAATTTCAAATTTTGTGATCCAAATATTGTAAACAGATTTATATAATAATTGATTAAAATTACAGTGTTGTAGAGCACTCTAAATCAGAGCACCATATGAATAAAATTGCGAGCATTTGAAAAACTTCTTTGCGTCTTTTCTATGCTATGGTTGCAACATGCGAATTTCCCACACTTTGATTTATCTTGCTTCTTTCCACCATGACTTGTGAGGTCGTAAATGCGGGATAGGGAATGCAGGTATATTTCGAGATATTATTCTTTGCACAAGGCCTTCAGGCATCCGTTTGAGAACAAAACTTAAAACCGGCAATAAATTACTTAAACGTGTTCAGTATTTGGCACCAAAAGCTCTTCAATTTTTCAAAGCCAAAACCAACTTATTTACAATGTTAAAACTTCACAATCATTTCGTATGCATGTAGTTCTTTATCACTCACTCTGTGGACTTGATTCAATTCACTGAAGGACCTCTGACCTTGTACACTTGAGCGACGTCGCAGAATCGTGATATTTAGCATAAATTTCTTCCGTACCTCTTCTACTCAGGAGATTTATCTTCCATTCTGGCATGCTTATCCAGCGCTGTTCCTGTTTTAACCTAAACGAAGTACGAAAACAAAACTGCTTTGATGTAATACAAAAACCAGCGAAACAAACATGAGTAATGGTGTTTCATTAGATATCACACATAAAGAGAAATACGACGCGTAGCTGAATATGTTTCAACTGTTATAATCTGTCGAGTGTTTGACTTTAGAACGTCTTTTAAAAAAATGATCTTGAAGAAGACATTTAGGATACGAAGGACAGGAGGTTTTTTTTATCAGGTATCTAAACGCATTACAGTGCCGCATAATTTCCATTGTCTTAGGCCAGTTGACTTAATGGTTTGCCAAAGTCTTTCAATATAGAACTTATATCAACTCGCCTCTTCTTTAATTGTGCATGTCACAATTACCACCTAACAAATCTGAAAACGCAGAAATAACTTTGAAGTAACAAAAACATAAAGTTGACCAGAGCTCAGCGTCTGAAGCAAAATTTTACTAACCTCTCTTCTTCTCTTTTCTCCAGAAGAGGAATTTTCCATGAAGGGACACCGATCCACTTTCTTCCTTCGATTTCTCTCTAGAAAACACAAACAAAAGAAATCATGATAGATCTGACAGTTTTCGGACAAAAGGGCCTAACAATGCGTTTCTCTATTTGTTACTCCTTCAAATGTAATCCAATCTTAACAAATATTTAAATATTTTTTACCAATCATAATTTCCCTGAATTTTCCTTCCAATTGTGGTAACACGGGCTCGACCAGCCGTTCTATGCACTCGAATTCCTCCCCCCTTGAGGTATTCACGTAGTAAAATGGTCTATCGGAGGCAGAATAAAAGATGTCATTTCTTCCATGCCTTGCAACAATGTTATCAATCGACCGCTTATTTTTGAAAAGTACCCAAAAAAACGGGGCGCCCTTAGAATTATCAATTAATATACCTTTTCTTGTTCTCTCCTTTCCTGTTCTTTATCCTTTCGCATTCGATTTATTATCATCTGTTTTTTCCATGGTGGCAAATCACTTTCAAACTGCCCGCTTAATGGTCTTTCGGCATCTCTGTGAAGACTGCCTGTACTGACCATGTGACTCGCATCATCACGAAGTTGCTTTTGTTTTACGCGGCTTTCTTGGGTCCCTGGGTCAATCCTTTTGACTTGGGCTGCTTTAACTTTGTCCTTTGTCTCCCAAACGTTTCCTTTATTTTCCAGGGACTGAACTTCCACAATCACCTTACAATTGTCTTCTTCAAATCTGACTCTCTGGTTTATCCCTCTGATCTTGGAGAGTTCACTTCGGCGGGATTTTTCATTTGGTTCTGTATTTACTTCAGCTTCTTCTAATTTTTGGCTTTTGCCATGGGAATATGCTAATGACACAAAGAGTGAAAGAGATAGACTCCCTTCTTCGAACAGCTTGCGTGACAGCTCGTTGAAAAGGGGAGAAATCGTCCGTGCCAGAACGCGAAGACCTAGCGATTCCAACAACCTATTCCATCTGGGGGGTGGGGGGATGGTACTTCCCCATAATAGGCTAATGGGGATGTAGACATATTAAATTCTGCAAGCAGGAATACTGCAATGCTGATCGTACTACGTGAAAATTAACTCTGCAAGACATCAACACGACACCGAAAGAACTCGCTACAGAGCGGGATTGTAGCCATAGACAGCTGTTAAGCCCTCTTTGGGGCTCGTCAGTATGGCGTAACAACCAGAGAGAACTCTAGTGAAAAATATCCGCGCACTCTGATTAAAGCTCTGACCTAGAACCCTCAACACCCACAGAATCACGCCATACCACGTGTCTTCGGAGGGGCAAGAGTCCAAGTGTCAAGTTGATGTCTCGCAGAGAAAATAAAAAATTGGCCAAAACCAATCTATAGAACATGGACAAAACCATGCAAGAAATACGGCATATCGGATCTATAAAAGATCTACGGCCCCAGAATACAAAAAGAACATTAACCACAAAGGACTGCAAAGGACCGCAAACGAATATGCCGAAGAACGTAGGATCTATAAAGACCTGATCAGCAAAAATGAAAAGTAGACATATTAAATTCTGCAAGCAGAATACTGCAATGCTGATCGTACTACGTGAAAATTAACTCTGCAAGACATCAACACGACACCGAAAGAACTCAAAACAGAGCGGGATTGTAGCCATAGACAGCTGTCAGAGTTAATTTTCACGTAGTGCTTGTCTACTTTTCATTTTTGCCGATCAGGTCTTTATAGATCCTACGTTCTTCGGCATATTCGTTTGCGGTCCTTTGCAGTCCTTTGTGGTTAAAGTTTGTACTTAATGGGGATGTGAAGCTGGATGGGGTCGCATTTTCACGACTGGGTTGACTATAATGGGGTTGCATTTTCAATAGAAAATTCTGCTAAGTAGGGGATTTAAAAAAGTGAGAGAAAGTGACAAAGTTGGGGTCACGAAAATGACATTTGCCCAAAAGTGACAACAATGGGGTGTATAATTGCCCACAGAATAGACTATAATGTGGCGGGGGTTCTAAGAGGCCAGCGACACACATCCAGCAAAAATTCACCAAAGTACCCTTCCCCTAGACTTCCCACTCCCTTTCAACGCCCGTCACGAAGGCTGGTCTTGTACGATATATATGTGTGGAGTTGAGTCGTGCACTGATCACATTTCACTTTACATTTCAGCAATAAAATCAGAATTTTGTTGGTCTAAAAGCGTCGATTTCTAAAACTACACTTGATCAGTCCCTGTAAGGCGTCTTCCCAGGCCTTCTCGGTCAAAGCATCTCGGCGACGTATCTGAGACGGCCTGGGAAAAAACTCATTCGCAACACGTGACCCGAAACGCATAGGCCACGCGAATAATGAGGCCTAGGGACTGGGCAAAAACTTCACTGCGGAACCTTTTATGACATCTGCCGTAAACTCAAAACGAAGGAACAAAAACACAAACAAACGGAAAACAAAACAAATAATCCCAAATAACAGTTATCTTTTGATTTAGTTTAATAACGTCAAAAGCGTTAAATTGAATGCTTTACGATAACTAAAAGAAATAGTACGATGTACATTATGTATTTAGGCTTGACAACAAGTACAAGTCGAGCTGAAAAGGCCGAACACGGGGCGCTAAAAAGAGTTAATTACAAAGTACTACGAATTACCCCGTTGTCCAACTATCGGAAGTTACAACTAGTGTGCGGCGGTACACAGGTCGTACCACTAACGCTTTCGGCTCCGCTCGTGCAAGCTTGCAGAATGAATGGCTGTTTATCTCCTTTCCCCTCCCCCAATGTCGTTTTGGGTAGCACAAGAACTGTACGCATTGCTTTCTTTTTGGGAGGGACGGGGACAAAAAACACCTGCAAAAACAACATTGAATGGGGCAAGGAGGGCGCGGCTTTGTTCTAGTTTGATGACATAGTCGCATTGCGCGTAAATTAAGAAAAGCAGGTGTTTCAAGGATGTTTCCCGAGGTTGTAGCTTGAGCGCAGGGTTTATTCTAGCAATTGGCCAATTAGGGCCTCATTTCCGCGCCCCATTTACTACTCTTTCACAAATTTCTTGCGGCATTATTTTTCAAATCGCGTAAATCCCGCAAAGCCTCACTCTAGAGTAAACCCTGGAGCAGTGACACTACGGTATGACAAGAGCTAATGAGAATGATTTTTTGCCAGACAAACATTAGTGCGTCAGTTTTTTGACTACTTCATTTTGTCACATACAATAAGCACCTGTTAAGGGAAGGTGGAGTTGGTGGTCCCCATAAACGTTTTCAAAGTTATAATTCTTGTATGTCGAAAAGGAAAAGTACTACCGTAATACAATCAAAATTAAACAAAATAGCTTGCAAGCAAGCTCTGGCGGCGGGGTGGGAAAAGGAAGGAGAAAGTGGAACAACGTCTCTGGAATTTGAATATCTGGATCGAAAAAGTCGATGCGAAAAGCTGATTGGCGGAGATGACATTAGTAATGACGTCATTGCCCTTGGCACGTGTTTTTCAATGTATGTTTACATTTGCGTTCGTTTCCGCTTCGCGCTGATTGGCGGAAATCTGACAGCTCAGTCGACGGGGAGCCACAGGGGAATTGGTAGCCTGCGAAGCGCAGACGCATTTCCGGTCGTCGTTTCTCTCCCTCCGAAAAATAGCTATTTTTCGGAGGGAGAGAAGCGACGACCGGAAATGCGTCTGCGCTTCGCAGGCTAGGGAATTGGAGGTGGACTTCAAATTCCGGAGACGTAGTTGCAAGCTCTCCCCGCCGCCAGAGCGCTCCGGAGAGCTTTCTCGCAGGCTAAAAACAAAATAACACTGTCCACAACGTTCTGTATTCTGTAGTCGTTCAAGTTTATAAAGTTGCAGGTTCTTTTTGTATAGTTCCTATATATAAATCTTTGGTTCAATACAAAATGTAAAAAAAAAACTACAGTTAGTCGCGTTATAGCAGAGAGTTAGTGCAACCGATTCTGATATGAACATTGAATAATAGTATCAAAATAAAGCAGCAAATTAAAATAGCTAAAAACGTACAAAACGATGGGTGTTAAACGTATTAACCCCATCTTGCTGTTTGTTGCTGTAGTTTCTGTTTTCCACTAGGTTAGTAGTAAAGATGCATTATTAATTTTTTAGCCTCCTGCGTTCGCCAAGTTTGTTTACTTGTTGGAACGACATCCACATGCCTTCTCAGGTTTTTGCCGACGCATAGTTCAGTGAAGTCCAAACATTTCCAAAGAAGAGGTCGGAGGCATGCTGTTACAGTCGCGTACAAACTTGTCAACAAAAAAAAGGTTAATAACACATAAGCCACAAACTAAAAGAAAAGGAACCAAAATACGTAAACAAAAAAGGCAGTAAAGTGAGAACTAAGTAAATCAGTCATAAATCAAAAGAAAGAGGATTAGGCTTGTGTTAACTTTGAATATCATGGTAACTCGTAGGCTTAATTTTTAAATATCGGAAAGCTTTCAGCCTTCTCCCTCGGCGTTCTCTTGCCCCGTTGTCCGCGCTAAGTCTGGGAAAGGGTGGGCCACTATCTCTTGGTGACGTCACAGCTCACGCTAGACTTCAGGTTTAACCAAGCCGTGAACGCCTAGGGGCTAGGCTGGATTGACTTACGACAACTGGCAAACGAATGACTGACTGACTGAATGATTGATTTTTGTCTGTCTGTCTGTCTGTCTGTCTGTCTGTCTAACTGACGAACTGATCGATAAACGTCTGCTGCACTTACTAACAGACTGATGGCTGCCGCGAACTGACTCATTGACTGTCTGACTGATGCTCACTGATTGAATGGTTGACTGATAGACTGTCTGTCTGACTGATGACTTTCTGACTGATCACTTACCGACTGATTACCCTCTTGCCGCACAATGCCTGACTGATGACTCGTGATTTACAGTGTCCTTTCTGACTGACTGACCGACTGACTGGCTAGCTGGCCAACCAACTGACTGACTGACCGACTGACCAACTGACCAACTGACTGACTAACATTAACAGTAAATCTTTATTGTGCCTTACTCTCTAAAAGGAGGCATCGGTCTGTTTACAATAAAGGTCGTTTCCAATGTCGATTACTGATTGACTGTTGGGTCACTGACACTGGTTCTTTGATCTTCAATACCACCTCATACATACCGGGTAATTTTATCACCATTCCTTGTTATTCTGTCAAGAAAATGGTAATACTCTCCTGTCTCCAGGGTCCCCAATAGGGTTCTTTCACCCGTCATCTTGACCCCAGTTTTCCCTCATTCCCGTAATCCCGAGGGTCATTTTTGGCATCCCGTATCCCTTGCATTGACGTTCAATCCCGAATCCCGTCCTCATATTGCTTTGAAATCCCGAATCCCTGCCTTCAAATGAGGCAAATCTCGGATTCCGAAGAACCTATTGGGGACTTAAACTATTGCTACAATTTTGTCTTCAAGGAAATAAAAATAAACTTCCTTTACCTGAGGACTCTGAAAATTCGACCGGTGCAGGAAGAATGTCACCAAAATGAGGCAAGGGTTGCATTTGTCTTTCCCTGAGGGGTTTGACCCGTTCTGACTGCGGACTGGCGTACAGTGGAGATCCGTAACCGTGGAAGCCTGGTGCTGCTGTAGATGAGGAAGAATTATCTGTAGAGTTCTTTTTTGTTAGACTTTCTTTGATGTTGTTGCTTTCTCTGCTGCTTCTGTTGCTGTTGTTCCTGTTGCTGTAGTTAGATCCCTCCTTTCTACCACTGTCGCTTAAATTGTTGTTGACGTTAGAAACAGAGTGCGCGTGTTTTGACCTGTGATTCCCTGATTCCATCTTTGCTTGTTCCATCCCCTTATCTACTTTACTGCGGTTGCTGCTGTCACTTCTCGTCCTCACGATCCCCTTGTTCACAGTTTGCTGCCAAGGAGCTGCTTCCTTCACTATTGAGGAGCTCCTTTCTGTAGCTGGTTTACCAGAAACAAAGTTTCTTTCTTGAACCTTTACATTTGAACTCGCGAAAGATGAAAAGGAATAGCTACTGTCTTCATTAACCCGTTTGCTGGTTTGCCCTTGTCGTTTTTGTGCCTTGGCTTGCTGTTGAATGAAAGAAGAATAAAAGGGCAGACATGAGGCTGGGCAAAGTGTAAACCTGTGCTATTCGAGTAACTCGCTTTTAGGAAGTCAGTTTTTAATGCTTTTTACGTCGCTTTGCGTTTAGCCTTTCCACGCACGCAGTCTGTTATGGACGCAGGTGATTTAATTCTGACGTTTGCGCCTGTGGAAGTGTGATCACTCATATAAAAGCTACCTAGCAGTTCTTTCCTGTGGTACTGTTTATTATGCTGTACATGGTGGTTCTAACTTTTGAGTCCGTTGACGAAATCCTATGTTGTGACCATTCAAATGAAAGCTACTGAACAGTACTTTCTTGTGGTACTATTTATTACGCTGTCCAATGTGGTTCTAACTTATGCATCTGTGGATAAAATCATGAAGTGTGACCATTCAAATTGAAGCTACTGAGCAGTACTTTCCTGTGGTACTGTTTGCTGCGCTGTATAAGGTGGTTTTCAGTTCATTTAGTTTGAGTCTATAAAGGAAGATCCAAAAGTGTGATCATTTTCATGCAAGCTACTGAGCAGTACTCTCCTGTGGTATTGTTGCTTTGTTGTTGTAAGATGAGAACGCGATAACGCGCGGAAAGGACTGAACGCGACTCAATTATTTGCCGCTCTTCCATTTTTCAAAGCCAGGTTCAAAGCAGTTTTTAGATTTGCGTGCGACGTCGCCACTGTCGTCCCGTTGACTTTGCCAAATCTGCCTAATTATACAGAAATAAAAGTACTTATGGGAGGGCCAAATAGCAAACTGCATGTGCTAGTGTTATATTTGATATGCTAATATTAATAATCACTAAGTGCAACTGTGCTTTGACTACAGGTATTAAAATAAATGGACACTAACAAAATCAAGAAGCATTTCAAGCCCTGCATGGCTCATGTCTGGGGGAAGTTTCTGAAACGTAAACGTTAGTTTCTAATAACACATGAATCACAATCATAATTTCATATAAGGAAGGGGAGTCACCTAGATTGCAAAACAGCCGGATTTTTTCGCTTGTCAAACAAATTTTTGCGCTCGTCATACGGAAGTCAGGTTTGAAAAACGAAGGATGAAGCTCGCTTGCTTTGTATCAGAATTTAACGTCACCAATCGGCGCTCAACGAGAACAGTTTTGAGAAAAACGGCAGAAAACGACTGTTTTGCAGTCTATCATTAATCCAACATCTCAACATCTTCATCTTTCTCCTCCCCAAAATAAATAAACACATGAATAAATAGATAAAGGTAGTATACAAACAAATTTGATTCACTGCCAAATCCTCGAAAAAACCTCTGATAACAGTAAATAAGGTGCATAGGGTTAACAAAATAGTTATAAAGCATTACAAACATATATGCCTTCTAAATCACCGTCTTTTGCTAATGATTAAAAAAAAGCAAAATCAATTATTTCTCTCTTTTAATCCAAGAGTGCAGTGTTGTGTTCAAGCTTTTTATGGTGCAACGAAGTGGTCAGACGTCATTACCCAACAACTTACAGGAATGTTTTTGGACTTTGTTTCAGATTCAGCTTACTCAGCAATTGCGAGGATTAACATAAGAAATAAATAAAACAAAGATTAAGTTATAAGTTTATTAATCTGTATACAACATATTACGATATTAACATTTCGTGTCAATTTCGGTTACTTTAGTTTAATTTAGTCTCTAACAAGTCTCAGTTTTTCTATTTATTTTCCTCAGAAACGTTACGGTTAACTTACATAAACAAAAGCAATAGAATCTTTACAGTCACAGGCATTTCACTTATGTACAAATTCGCAGAAAGTTGTTGTAGTTTTCTGCTTTTAAAAATAACCATTTTTCAAAAATTTCGACGTTTTGTCTAATTTAAGTTATTTACCAGCTAGGATGAAATAATTATTTTCACTCTAATCAACTTTCTGTAAATTTCAGAACATTCACGTAACACCAGGAATGTATAAGTTATATTTACAATCTTCGTGTATTACAAGCCCATTCTAGATAATTAAGGCCTTGTGAGAGTGTATAATCAAGAGATTCATTATCCGTTTGGAAAAGAAATTGAGCAAATAGGCATTGAGGTTACTAATATTTTGTGTCGTATACTGTATAGACTGTTCACAGTCCCCTATTTTTTATCGTGAGATCGTCGAGATATAGTGCGTCTTACCGTTAATGGCGGCTATCTTGATTTTCAAATGTACCAAAGGGACAGGCGTCGGGGATTACAGCTCTAGGGGGAGGGGGGGCTATTTTTTCGCTTCCTCCCAAACCGCCCCCTCCCACTAAGTAGTTTTGACACTCATGTAAGATAGCGGCCCGTAATGCAAAGCGCTCGATCTTGACGGAAAAATAGAGGACTTCGAACAGCCTATATACTGTGCGATAAAAAAGATAAAGTAATTTAAAAGGAGGCATTATACGACTAAGGCACTAAGCCAAACAAAACAGCAATGTCCACCAAGGCTCACTCAAGACGAATAATGTGTTTGGAATACCGCAAAAGGGGGCTCAAGAGTTATTAACGCTTAGTGTGCTAAAAACTTAACTTAGAGTTTGCCTTGCTTACAGCTATCGTAGTTGCTTGTGGCTTTTGCTGTGGGTCTTTGTTGCCTGCGTATTTGTTGACGAAATATAAAAATCATCGGAGTGGATAAAAACGTTGTGTATGTGAACGGCGAAATCAGTGAGCATTGCTGATGGATGACGTAACAGTGACTGACAGTTGAAAATGTCCAGATTGTCCAGTATCATTGTATAACAGTGTATTGGTGACCTGGGAAAAACAGTCTTTGCTATTTGTTATCCAGTTGCTTTAGAGTTTCACTACAAGTCTATTCATTTCAAGGTATTATCTGGTGTTTTTCTGGTCTAAAAGGTTTGCTTAAGCCGGAAAAAATAAAATTTATCAGTTTTTTTAAAATTTTACTAAAAATATTGTTCTACAAACTTTGTGCTCTGTGCAGGCTTGTAAAAGGTCATTGGCTGAATCATGCATGCGTTAACGAATTTCTTGGTTGTCAGGGAAGTTACACTGTCAGTAATTTTAACTTGGCATTGACTAAAATAGTCTCATCTATCTATTTTTCAAAAGCTTATCAGGCCTTTTGCATTAGTTGATCACGTGAAAGTTGATCACGTGACGAACTATTGCCAAAAGCCTAGTTCATTTTATTCACGTCCCGGTTTGGACATTAAAATTTCAATTTTTGGCTGTTGCTTCTATTTATTTTTAGGCTTGTTCTCCTGTTGCTTTCAGCGCTTAACATTTTGCTTGAAAATATCAAGTATTGTAGACTTCTTGTTTGTCATTTATAGGCAAAAAAACGCACACACACAAAAAAAATCAATAAAAAAGGTTAGGGCGTAGCTGAATCAGTTTATGCAGGAAAAATTTCTCTACCCTATTTCTTTTCTTAAGATGTACTTAGGTAAAGAACCGGTGCATCACTTTTGATGATATGTCTTCTTACTGATCTGAACTAATAATCTTGTTGGTTCGTTTTTAATGTTAGTCAGTCTCGTTTACGTTTTCTAATTTTAGTTAGCTTTTGTTGTCAACTAACGTAGTCTTTGTTCTTTGTTCAATGATGTGATGAAAGTAGAATGAATATGTATATTGAAATTACTGCATGAATATAAATGCTATTTCTTTGGTTATTAAATTTGATAAAGCTATAAATTTTAAGTGTTTCTAGATTCTATTTAAGTAGCATTGCTTTAAGTAACCACTGAAGTTAAAAAATGGAAAGAATGAAAAATTGATGGCACAGAAAAACCTTTTCTAGAGCAAGCCGCTTCTCTATTCCAAAATCGACACATGAAAAAAAATATATAATTATCTAAAAAGAGTGTTTGGATCGAAAAAAAAACAAAACAAAAAAGAACTTAGAGAAAATATCACAGTCAATAGGCAAATCAGAGATGATCACACAATTTATCGTTTTTGAACGTCAATGTGGAGTTGACTGGAGAAGCAACTTACTGTCCATGAGCATAACTTTGCATTCCTGCAATTAAATAATTCTATTTTTTTTAAGTTAGCTTCCTCAAATAATTAATGATGAAATTGTGTTCAGTGGAGCCTCAACAAATTAACCTCTATATAACAAAGTCTGCAGTATAACAAACAAAATTCTTCACCCCAGTAGTAAATTGCTAGTCCCTTGGTCCTTTGTTATATCCACTGTATTTTAAACTGTGCTTTTTTAATACACTTCATATAAATGTATGCAACAACACCTGACTGTTTTATAAGATCATGAGAAAATGATCATTCCCAGCAGTTCAACAGTATATTGTTAGTAGAAATATGACAAGTACAGTAACATAGACTTGCATTAATACATGTTTGCTAAGAATGTTGCAATAGATTAACATAACACTCACCCTTGCTGTGGCTATCTTAAGATAATCTGTGCATTTTCGGTGGTTGCTTATTTTTGCCAAATGTAATGGTGTCAATCCTTCCCTGTCTTTCTGATCGACATCCAAGTCAAGAGTTTCAACTAGGTATCTAATGCACTAAAATAAGAAAGATAGATAACAGTACCACAATATTATTAATTACCATGGCTTAAGACTCATGTCAGGAAAATCCCAGATGATCGGCAACCCTTACTGTTTCCCGATTATCCTGGTTATTATGTCGGGAAAAACCCGGAGTCTGTCCCAGACACCATTTTGCTTTATGAGGGGAAAGACTAGAGCTGAGCAGTTTGAGGATAGGGACAAATATGATCGGCCATCGATACCCAACATCCCAGACAGTATAAATTTGAGTTTTTATATGTTTGGCATGATTCCAGCCATAGCAGAAATCTGGGAACCTGCAGGAAAATAGAACACTCCTGATTCCCCCCATTTGTGTCCAACCATCCCAGACAATTGGGGATATCTACAATTCTGGAAAAGTTTCTATAAGTTGGGAAGGATAGGGAAACAGTAAATTCCCTGATTGCACGGGAATTTCCTGACATGTTTGAACTTGCACCCTTCGTCAAATAAATGCCCCCTTCAAATAAGTTACTTCCTTGAGTCTAATTAAAAAACACCCGCAGCCCTCCACCAAGAAAGAAAACATCATGATATACATAATTATTATTTACATTTGCAATATAATAAATTAACACATTCATTCAACACTCAAACATCTCCAAAGCAAAAAGAATTTAATTTTTAACACAAAGAACTTTTAAGTAAGAGAAGTGTAGCCATTTTAACAATTTACTAACCTCAAATTGCCCCTGTTCTGCTGCATCATGTAGAGGTGAGCCACCAAGTGTGTCAGTTGATGAAATGTCACCTTTGGCATTCAGCCATTTCAAAACATTCACATGTCCTGAAACACACACAGAGAGAACTGCAAAATCTAACCTTGTTAAATGCTTAATTTTCCCATGGCAAAACATTACATTGTTGATCACCCTACTAATAATTATTTATTATTACTGTCGAACCTCGATTATCCAGACTCGTTGGGACTTGAGTAATAGTCCGGATAATTGAGAGTCCAGATGATCGAAAATATGAATACTAATGAGACAATATCACAAACATAAGGAATAAAGAAAACAAAATTTAATTGCAAATAATTTAGCTCAGTCCCACTTGCTTTTATGTTCTGTCTGTATGTATTATGTATTTACAAAATAAAAAACTTACTGTTTCAAATGTTTGTGTCCACTACAGATTAAAACAGTGTTTTAAACAAATGTTTGGAAGGATCAATGTACTTTTAGTCATTTCAATTTTTGAGGATCACGTCAGATCTTAATAAAATCCAGAAAAAAAAGGACCAGTTAAACAAGTCCAGATAATCTAAAAGTTCAGATGATCGAGGTCTGGATAATCAACTTCTTTGAGGTTTGACTGTAATGTATTATTAGACTATACTGAACTAAATACCTTGTGCTGCAGCATAATGAGCAGGTGTAGCTCCTGTTGTGTCTCTTTCATCTATATCAGCTTGGCCACTTTCAATCTGCAAAAAGTCAGTCATGGTAAATTAGCTATAACTTAAACGTTTTCACTCCTGAAAGGTGGGGGGGGCGGGGGGTGTTAATGAAAAAAAAATCCAGGTTTTCTTTAACGTTAGGAAATAAATACACCCATGAAGTAACAGAGCTTTACAAAAAACTAAATAATTCCAGCTTGTCCTTCTGCTAAGCAGCTCAGCCACTTCTAATGTTTGTCTTAGTTAATGATTTTGCTCTAAGAGGATGACTTGCCCAGACTGTTGTCCATTGGGCATACCAAGTAAGCTAGTCACTTGCCCTGCTAGAAAATTTTCTTGTCCCACACTAGTGAATGGGACTTTTTTCAAGCCTTGAGTATCATACAAAAGTTCTGCAAAAGAGGTTTCTTAAAGTTTTGAAAGGTAAAAACATAGGTTTTCCTCAAAAGATTTTTAAAGTTCTAGAGCAACAAATTCAATAATAATTATTTTGTTTTGTTGCCCAAAGATACTAGGTTATAAGATGCACCCCAAAATTACAACAGATTTAGAGCTATCAAGCAAACTTTCATTGAAAAGATGCTGTGCCTTATAAGCAAAAAAATAAGGTAACTTATTTTTCTTACCAGATATCCCACACAGTCCAGATGTCCATTCTGAGCAGCTGCATGAATAGGGAGCATCCCATCTCTGGCTCTTGCATCACACTTCCCACCGACACTGTGAAGATACTTTAGGCAATCCAAGTTACCATCTTGTGTTGCAAGATATAAAGGAGTTGTTCCATCTGTTGCAGCATCATTAACAGAACTAAGAGATAACAAAAGATAACAATTGCATAAACTGGACTGATGGTACTCTCCTCTATGGGAAGATCGGAGCTTTTCTTGGGATGAATCTTCTGAGGGGTTTTACAAATGTAGTGACAATAAAATTTTACACCTGCTCTTGCTTCATACAGGGCATATCTAATAATAGTGGTTTTTTTTTCTGTCCTATCGAACCTATGCGGAGCGATTAGGGGTGGGGAATGGGCTGATACTGTTCCTTTCCAGCTGAGTCAAAGTTTTGCCAAGAAAACTCAAAACTTTATTTTATATACTTTTTGCATACTGTAACCACAGGCAAAAAGAGTTAAGCCACAGTGATCATTATTGGTATTAAAATTCATATTTTGAAAGTCCAGGTTTAAATCTTGGCCACACCATCAAAGAAACTCTGTTCTTTACTTCCAAGTAACTCTCTCTATCTCTTCAGACTAAGTTGTATTAATAGGCACTTATGGCATAATTATTGTCCGAGGGCACATTCTCAGGGTGGGCCACCAGACTAAATAGTGTAATTTTATAAAAGAACATCACCTTGGCTTGGTACTGCATGAGCCACTTCAACCCAGGAAAGGTCCCAAGCATGAGGGCTGGCCCCAATATTCCCATCCAAATTCTCCAGACTGATTATCATACATTTACTTTGAGATTAGTTGAGAGAATTTGATAAAAGATCAAAGCATTTCCCCTTTGGTGATCATTTTACTGATTCTCGTTACCTTTTCTCTTGATTATTTGATATTGTAGGGAGAAAATTAATTAATGTTGGTCACTCTTGGGACACAAAGGGTTAAAGTCTTAAAATTTGTCTGACAACCCTTACTATACCTTTGCCTTCGGGGATTTAGGTGCTGACCAGGGGGAAGACGGAAAAGAAGCTTGAAGTTTACAAGAGCTAAACATCACTTGAGAGTTGAAAGATACCCAAAAAGAGAAATACAGACTGCAGCCAGAGCTGTCATTAAGAGCCATAACCCGTAACACCTGTTATGGCTGAGCACTCTTGATGTTACGGGTGATCAAAGTGGAAAGCTAAAGGTGGCACTATAAATTTTTGTGAGATGTTACAGCTGCTTAAAACGTAATGACAGCCCTGATAGCTACAATGAAAACTGATAATTGCACAGCTGGATTGATAGTATTTTTCTTTATAGGATGCAACAGTGCTACACAGACAAAGCACTGAAAGATAGAGCAATATTTATTCTTGTATTTAACAGACTGACAGTTTACCTGTATCCAGCTTTGAAAACCAAAAGCTGGAGGCAAGTAAGATGTCCTCCAGAAGCGGCAAAGTGCACTGGTGTCATATGATTCCTTGACTTGGCCCTTGCATAACCATTCACCTTCTCAGTCAACCACTTCACCATCTCAAACTTCCCGAACCTTGCTGCCAAATGCAATGCGGTATGCCCTGATCTGTCTCTCGTCTCTACATCAGCGCCGTTTGCAAGAAAGTATTTGACGCATTCTAGCTGTCCTTGTGCCGCAGCATCGTGCATTGGTGTAGCTCCGCTTGTTCCGCGTACATTGTAAGAGATTCCGACCGCTTCCACCAGCCATTCAACACATTCCATTTGACCTGTTCGGGCAGCATAATGAAGGGCGGTCGCTCCAAAGCCATCTGCCGCCATAGGAACTACACGACGAAGTGATCTTAAGGTTTGAAGATCACCATCTTTGGCTGCGATAAGAGCTCGCTCTACTTCGGCCATTTCTACTTATTGCGAATGATCTCACCCTGGCGTTTACTTTTAGGCATAGAGCTAACAACTGCGAGCTAAATTCTCACATACGTTCACCACAAACACGCCGCAAACACGAGCACTTTGGGTCATCATCAAACAAATACGAGCTAATTACTGCTTAGATCGCTATGTAAGCATCTTACCTCTCAATTCTTAGTGACCTGTCACAACAAGAAAACACCTTAAATTATTAATTTGCTACAAGCATAGCAGCTGCATGGACGTCTGTGAAAAACGTTTCCTCTCGGGATTCATCCTCAATATCCTCTCCTGACCAATTTTTCCCTTCTTCTTTTCTTTTTCTCTTTTCGAATCCATTTCTCTAAATTTCCTTTTAATTAGAAACAACATCTATTACTATCAGGTTTTCTGACTCCGTAACAAGTGAAATCATTTGAAAAATTGCGCCTTTTTCCAGCTGTTTCACCTGTTCGCCATGTTTGTTTGAATCTGTATTTATCATGGCCAGCGTTATCATGTTAGCGCATGCTTAAAAGGGCAGTAACAAAGATGGCGGACGGTTCAGGATCACAAACAAATGCTTCAGTCGCGACCTCTGCTCAAAGCAAAGTGAGTGCAGCCAGTAGCCAGCCACAAGCGGCTCAATCTACGGTTTCTAACACAAATACAGCAGCGTCATCTAATGTAGACACAAAGGTCAGGCACGCTGGAGCATCTCTGGGGGAATTTTTAACACAACTGGAAGACTACACGCCGACGGTAAATTAAGCTTATAATAAGTTTATTATTATTGTTGTTATTTATTTTCTAATCTGGTTTCGTTCCCTGTTGTTACCTGTACATTGTCCTATTAAGTTAAGGTGCGCTCATGGTCGTGTTTAGGTTATTAGGAGCTGAAGCAATGCAAAGCCATTAATGTTTTAAATGCACAAATGCAATGCATGGTGTATGGGATAATTTTCCCCTCAAAATGGATATACATTTGACTTTGCAAGATATACTTTAAGCACCATACATCAGCTGTCCATAAAGTTTCCAAGTAAAACTGGCAGAAACTTCGCTGTTACGGGACCCCAATAATCTGTTAAATCCCTGGCAAAAAAAAAATTTCTGTATGGACTCCAGCTATCTAGGGTACTTACTGATAGTCTCGATAGCGTTCACAAAACAGGGGTTGATTATAATTATTGTGAAAGTAATGCTTTGTAGTGTATGGGTCAGTGCAGAAATCTAAAAAAGAGTAAGCAACCCATATTCTGTATCATACAATGAAGACGTTTATTCGTCATCAGGTTAGTAGTAATATTTTACACGCCAGCATTAAGCGTAAACATACAATAAACTAATATTCTCTTACAACAATTTCTTTAAGGCGGATTTCATTGCTGTTTAATAAAATGTAGGCTCTTATTTGCAAGTCTCTAAAAATGGCTGGTGTTCTTCTGGCGTGTGAATGCTTAATAAGCAGAACCCACGTCGAAGAATTTATCTCGATTTATGTCCTTCGTTATTGAGCTACCTCAAACCTGAGAGTTTGTTTTGTTTATCATAACAATGCCACATGAAGCGAAGCTGTTATAATGCATAACTAAAGAAAAATCTGTCCCTTCCTGATGCCTTGGTCTGATGCATGTACGTGTCGATGCGTTCGAGCTGATGCATCCATGCGTCTGCATCGTGCCTGCGTTCTTTGTTTAATTCTGGCTTGCACTGTACCTGCTATTCAGTGTGTGATCAGCAAGAAAATTTTTCAGAGCAGTTTGCTTTTCAGCCAGGCGAAACTGCCATTTGAGTCAGTGAAGTGCTTGCCTCTTACTCAACACTTAGGTTTTATAATATTAAAGAATAACCTTAAAAGTTAAGGCCTTTGCCCCCTGCTACACATGGACAGTGTACTCCAACCAGTTATCCTGCCTTCTACCTTAAAACATTTTGACTGTGCTGTTCAGTTAGCTTTCTCCTAAGCCCTTCCATTGTTAATTTTAGCTACTGAGTGTGCTAAACAGACTTATCTTACACCCTCAGATACCAGATGCTGTTACAGCATTTTATTTAAACCGGTCAGGATTTGACACAACAGATCCAAGAGTGTAAGTTATGAGTTCTGTCTTATAAATTTTGTAAGTGTTAACAGTGTTGATTTTAAGGAGTAATAAGTTTCAGTTTCAGTTTTTTTTTTATCATCACAAAAAAAAAAGAATGTAAGAATACAGAAATGAACAGTAGCATATACGGCTCTAGATATTGGGCTCCCTCACAGTATAAAAGTATAAGTTAAGGCCAGGATTGAGCATATATTGAGTAATTAAATGACATTGATAAAAAGTAAATAACTAATATAAATATTTATAATTATAGTAACAAACGTACAACGTAAATAATGGAAAGCTATGAAGAAAACAATAACTATTTACAAGGTTTATTATTAATGATTCTCATAGAAATATTTACGAAGTTTAGATTTGAATGAGGAGAGAGAAGTAGAATCTTTGAGCTCATTTACTAAAGAGTTGTAACAAGGTGGTCCTTGGAAACTCACAAACAAATTACGTACATTGTTTCTACAGAAAGCTAAAAATCAATACAGTCATTATCATTATTACAGCATTACACATCTCTAATGTAATATATTATTATTGTGGTTTTTTATTTCCCTTCTCTGTAGAGTGAGAATGATTTCCCTTGCTGCTCAAAAGTTTGTATCAGACATTGCAAATGATGCCCTTCAACACTGCAAGATGAGAGGTTCAGGGCAAAGTTCTAGAAAATCAGGCAAAGTAAGTCAGTTTTAATTTTCAACAACAATTCATTTGAAAGATTCCTTTGCCTGATGAGCTCATACTGAATACAAGTCCAGTACTACCACTTCAAGAAACACAGCCTTATTTCAATGATGCAATAATAATGTTTTATATGGCTGTCACGAAGACTTCAAGTTGCTGGGTATATGCAATAATTGCGTATACCCCAGCAACTTGAAATCTAGGGGCTGGTGGCTGGGGAATTTTACCTTAGCTACTAAGAGCATGACCCTCTGTTACTTTTGTAGGAAACAAAAGGGTATATTAAAAATAACTAAAAGAACTTCCTAGCTGTCGAATCCCCTGCCTACTATTCAATATTTTTTTAAGTGAGATAATAATTCTTTTATTATTATTATTATTATTATTATTATTATTATTATTAATATTATTATTATTATTATTATTATTATCATTATTATTATTATTATTATCATTATTATTTTCTCTTTTTCTTTAACCCTCCATTCTATTGACATTTTAATTAGCCCATGTATATGTTACTTTGCAGGACAAGAGATACACACTGACAATGGAAGACTTGACCCCAGCACTGAGTGAATATGGAATAACTGTCAGAAAACCCCCGTATTTTATTTGATTGAGCTACAGCAATTAAATATTATTGTAAATAATATTCTTTCAATAGGAGTTGCAATATAATGATGGTTGTAGTATCCTCACCTCAGGTCTCTTTAAAAAGAAAAATAAAGTATAGTTTCTGTAATAATCAGTTAGACTGTTAATCTGGTTTTTGAAAATAGCAATTTTTTTTAGTATATAACCTCCCCTTCCACCCTTCCCAGTTGTCCATGGCAAGCAACATTTGCCATGTTAAAGAAAATGTTAGTGAAAAGGGTTAGTAGGCCTGCACAACTGTTCTGGGCTATAAACTTCACCAGAAGCTTGCTGGAAGGGCGAGTGATTATATAACATAGCCACCTAATCTTGTACCTAGATCTCACTCTGTGTTACACTGAAAAGTGGGATCTGAGTACAAGGTAAGCATGATCATTGTGACCAGCAGTGACTGTGGAGAGACCCCAATCGTACTCGTCCATCAGGAGCCCATTAGGCTCCCGTCACCCATCCCTATCAAGTGAGAAAAACAATATGAATTTAAAGAATGCTGTTAAAACTTGTAAAGTACGTGATTTTTATATCCCCAGATCTGGCAGTTTTCATCGATAGGCAAAATACGAGTGAGTACAGAACCCAGGCCCCGGTTTGTCAAACGTTGGATAGCACTATCCAGCAGATAACTGGTTACAGAAACTAATAATATTGCATTATCCACTGGACAAAGATTCATTCGGTGGATAGCGTTGTCCAGCTTTTGAACAACTGGGGCTACAGGGGACCCCAACGAGAATATAGTTCAAAACCACTTAAACGTAGCATTGTTAAACGTATTTCAGTCTTTAAACGGTAGATATAGGCATATATTCCCTAAAAATTTTTCATCTGTTCGGATTTCCTAGCTGAAAGTCTCGAGATCCGAAAATCATAGGGATCAAAACTTATTTTTTCGAAAATTTCAGCCAGAAAAATGGCCCCCGAAAATTCTAGGTGAGCTTTTTAGGGTAAAAATCCGTTAAAAATGGGCAATTACACCAATTTTTAGATGTTCGAAAATCCTAGGAGAGGTAGGCAAGCAAGAAATTTTACAAAAAATGTTCCGAAAATTCTAGATCTCAAATCTTCTTCTGAACAGATATTTTCCGAAAATTGACGTTGGGTGCCCTTTGGGCCAGGAGGATAAGCCAAGGGTATTAAAAAAGGGGTCTCAAATTTAACCCTCAAAGGAGTTTTTTTTTTCCTTCCTTTATTGTTTTCTTTTTCTTTTTGGTCATTTTTAGGGTAATCTGATCAGGTGTGGCCCAAGTGTGTTCTTAATGAAAACGTTACAGTCAAGAAGACTTTAGCAGGCACTGATCAAACAACGTGAAATAGAGTTTAGTTGCGATATTTCGACTGGCCAATACCAGTCTTCATCAGGTTTATTGAGATATCACGAATTTACAGAAATATATATGAAGTAAAATAATGACCGGAAATTACATAATATGACGTGGTATGACGTGGTTTTTGCAGTGGTTTTTTTACCTTAATTAAACATTCTGTGTTCTTAAGTTTATATTGTTCAAATGGTGCTGGGAGAAAACAACAACCAGCTATTATTATTATTTGTACTTTATTTCAATAAATTTTATTATTTTGACTCTATTGATTAATTCGATCTAAAAGTTTTACTGATTTTTCTGTCTGATATTCGGCCCCGTCAACCATCTCTACCTCGTTTTCATTCTGTAAGGGAGAAACTGGTAAGGAGTTAAAATCGTCCCAGTCTTTCACTTTCTCAACACTTTCTCGGAAAAATACATTTTATTTGTTTTGACACAAAAAGGTAGGCGAAAGAGGTAGAAAATTTCTTATCGTCTTTAATGGGAGAGTCAAAGCCCGATACAGCCGTCACTAACAAGGCAAGCTGCAATAGTTCCAAACGATGGACATCGCTGTCGTACCTCACACATCGCGAAGTTCACGGAATGCGAAGTGCACCGAAGAACGATACCTTCTCCTCCAAATTGTACAGACATTTCTCGCTGAAAAACATCGTGGACCCTGAAGATGACCCAAATAACGTTGGGCACGGAGCGATTTTCAACCTAGAATTTTCTCCCTTTGGTAAACTTCTTGTGGCAGCTTGCGAAAGACGTAGCCTTCTTATGTTTGATCCGCTGACTCACAAGCTGATTAAAACCTTACGGAACGCTCATGTCGATTGCGTTAATTGTGTTCGATTCTTGGACAGTAGGACCTTTGTTACATGCTCTGATGACACTACTGTAGCTTTATGGGACTCCAGGAACCTCAAAAGCAAAATGCTTAGTTTAGAGGGCCACTCAAATTGGGTTAAAAGCATTGAGTTTCATCGACCGTCTGGTCTGCTGGTGACGTCAGCTTTTGATGACACAATCAGAACATGGGATATCAATGGATACTCAAATGAGGGACGAGTCAATAGCCGTGTTATTTTCCAATTTTCCAATTTAATTCGCATGAAAATGTGCCCGGGCGGTTCCAAAATGATTATGTCATCTATTCCCGGTAATTTACTAGTGGTGCATAACTTGGATCTAGACTATCTGCAATTTGACATTAAAGGTGATGAGTATCCCCACTGGGATGCAACAGATTCTTCCCTTGTTAGCTTTGCGAGCCATCGCTGGCCAAGTAAGGGAAGAAATGCATTGGAGGTTATTCAAGATTTTCCTGAAGAGTGTACCCCATGGTGTATATCATCAGTGGAGGTACACCCACAAGGATGGTGTACAGTGGCTCGATACACCTGCAAGAAATCAAGGAATGAGTGGACTGTGCTTCATGATATTCAGGACATAGCTGAGGGGAGGGATGGTAAGTTACTACAGTATATGTAGGAGGCGAAAGCTTTGGAGTAGGCGGAGATGGAGAAAAGGGGGGTCCAGGGGCATGCCTGTGGGAAAAATTTTGAAATCTGTGCCTCTTAGAATGCATTTCAAACATTCTAAAGCAAAAGTTAGAGTTTTTGAACAGAACACGGACATCATGAAATTTAAGCTTTTTCATTCAGGAACAGCACATGAATACATTTTCTTTTTTTTTTAATTTACTCTTCGTGCCAATTCTTATGAACCATTGGTTGTTTCAGTATGATCTATATGTTTTAAATCATGTTTAATATTAGCATAGCAACCTATGCACACCCATACCAGATGCATATCCTTGCATGCACAGAACTTTATCTTGTTCCTAGAGTCTGCATTACCCTTGTCCAGTGGAACATGTGCAATGGGGACCCATGGCCCATTCCACAGGACAATGGTAATACAAACTCTGGAAATGACATTGGGTTTCTGTCCTTTTGAAAATCAAGAATGGAACGCTTGGCTGTTAGGTGTTCATGCTGCTGTGCTGCCATGGGCTGTGGGCTGTGGGCCTGCTTTTAGCAAAACCGGTCAAAGTTTACAAGCAGAAACATACATGTGAGGGAGACTTGTATTTTGCATACCGGCAAATTTTGTTTGATTTTTATTATCCTTTGTGTCTTACACTATCACATACATTGAAGCCCAAAGCAAAGAAAATTTTCATTTATTTATTTTTTATTTATTTATTTAAAATCTTTCTTGGTAGTGTACTACTAATAATTATTACTGTCAATAAATTTGAAAAATTGAATACCCTCCCAGAGACTGATAGTAAAATGTAAATAGAGGTTAAACTGAACCACGACAGTTACACGTGAAGGTTTGACCATATTCACTATTCAATCTCTCTTCGTTTCAGGTGAAGAGAACATTTCTCCTCCGCGGCGCCTCACTCACAGCATACAAGAACCCAATGTTGCCAAAGGCTATATAAAAGAACACTGCTTCAACCATGACGGACGAATCATATGCTCGCCATTTGGTAATTCTGCAAGAATCCTAAGTTTTAGTCCTGAGTGTGATGAACTATCTTCTTGTGTTCATAGTACACCATCAGAACTGTGTGATTTAAAAACACTTATAAGTCACAAGCAAGCTGTTGTGACTTGTAGGTTTTCACCCACCCATTCACTTCTCTCGCTTGGTTGTTTGGGTGGAAAGGTGAGTTTCTACCAGCCTAAACTCTAAAAAATGCAGCTTCCAATCTATCACCCCATCCTGATTCCGGAATGAGGGAAATTTTTTGCTTTTATATTTCTGGAATCTAGCAAATTTTTGCTGTGGAATTCAGGATCCGGAAATATCCGGAATACAGCTCAAGGAATCCAGAATCCTACTATTGATTGGAATTTTAGTATCCACGTTTCGCTGAGAAAACATTCAGAATCCAATAACTGGAATCTAGAATCCAAGACTGTCTTGCATTTTCCAAGCTCACATGAGGCGAAATCATATAATTAAGGCTGCTGGGCAATGTGGGCAACAAATTTGTGCAACTTTTTATGCAGTATTGTAGATTGATTTTTCTGACTTTTCCATCCATGTGAGCAGCTTGTAGCACTAGAATTTTTGTTATGTCAGGGTTGCAATATCCATTGTGCAAAATGGAAGACCCCTCTTTTGAATCTGCCATTAATCAGAACTGACAAGAAAAATTGTTGCATGACAATAAATTAAAGTGCTCAAGTGAGCAGCAAAACAAGCAATATCACTTTTAACTCATAAAGGAGCAATGTCCTTTAAAAAGTGGGATGAATTTGTAGCCCCTGTCATATGATACTAATAACAAAAAAATATAACACTATCTGACACATAATGATTAGGATAATATTCACAGATTGCTTTAAAAATTGGTGGCATAACTACCTAAAATTTAGGAAAATATTTAGCAAGCAGGTGATGTCTTCACACAGGCTCAGAAAAATACTTTCAGTAGCCAATAAAACAGACTCGAACTTGAGATCAAGTGACCTTGGAAGCTACTTAATCAATTCCATTGTCAAATGTTGGAACAGAAGATATTGAAAATTCATGTGCTATGAAGTGTAGAGGCTTCGGTGGGAATAGCCCCTTTTACAGTTACAGGTGATAATGAGGCTGGAGTTGAGTTTTTTTTTTATCATACAACCCTTCTTATTCTGTAAATCATTTTGTTCTTATGATAACTAGCATTTTTTAAGCATAACTTCCGTGAGAGAAGGAAGGAAGTTTGTATCAAAAGAAGGTCAACCTCAACCCCACGTTCACTGAGAAGCTGGGCATGAAGCCCACAACTGTAATGGTCTATTGAACCTAGGAGCTCTGTTAGAGCCGCCTCAAAAGGCACAGTTAACAGCCCCGTCCGTGGAAAGTTACTGCTTAGTATCTTTCACACTTTGGGATTTCATCAACAGACTTACAAATAATTTGTAGATCTTCCATGTACAGCATATTAAACAGGGTTCCCACTACTCCTGGAATTCCTAGAAAACTCCTGGATTTTGGAAATTTTTTTCCATCACCCTGGAAAACTCCTTGAAAATTCAATTTTGGCATCAATTCCTGGCAAACGCCTTGAATTTATCTATTAATCTTAGTTGTAGGTTTAAAAAATACTTTTTTGGTCCTTGTTTTTGGTGAGTAATTTGTTTTAAAGAAAATTGATGTGAAATTTACAACTTTGGGGTCCTGGATTTTTTTGTTTGTACCCTGGATAGCTCCTGGAAAACTCCTGGAATTTCATAATCTTTAAGTAGTACGAACCCTGATGAAACAGTACCAAAAGTTTAAAACAGGTTCGGTTACAGAGTTTGGTATTTAGTATTATAGTGTGTCCTGTGATCTAATTATGTCTCCAGGGGCATTCATGCTTTGTTGTGTTTGTTCTAAGCATTTAATCTATATTCCTGGACGTAGATGGTTGAATAATGTATCTTGTACAATGCATCTTGTATTTCACTCTGAATAAACGATATAAAGACAGTTTTATTTGTATGTTAGTTTTTTACTGAATACCGGTATTTATTGGTCTTTCCAGCAAAAATCGCTGGGAACGAGGTAGCTAACTACTTCGCCTCTAACAAGGAGGGACGGTTGTACTGTTCGCGGGCTATGTAACTACGTGTCGTATGTTGGAGGGTTTCAGACATGTTTGAGACAGAGCTTCCTGTGTTTTTTCAACTTTTAACGTTGACCAGTTAGTGAAAATCTACCAACACTATTAGAAGGCGAGCCGTGATGTGTTATGACTGTTGGCTTTTCAAAGTTGCGAAATTTGCCTGTGGATCAGTATACCATATGGGGAACTGCCCACCCACCCCTCCCCTAACCCAACCGACATTAAAACTAACTTTGGCCTGGGCAAAATATCGGTTAGGGGAAGGGTAGTTTCCAGGATGTTCCGCAGATTTTCAAGTTTGTGCCCTCCCCTCCCCCCCCCCCCCCCCCCCCCTCCACACCAAAAAACACCTCTCCCACTTTCCCAACATCACTAACAATTTTTATTCCCTCTCTTTTCCTATGCAGTTCTTTTTCTCTTTCCATGTCAAACATTTAGAGTAAAATTTTCGCTTGGGAAATATAACCCTATGGGGGACCCCCCCCCCCCCCCCCCCCCAACCCCACCACAATATAAAAAAAACTTGGCCCGGGGAAAAAATCTGGTGGGGGGGAGGGGTTTTCCCGGGTGTTCCCCAAATTTTTCAATTTTTGCCCCCCCCCCCCCCCCCCCCCTCTCCCCCAATACAAACGTAAGAAACCTTTCCCGACTTTTCCAAGATATACTAAGATATATCTTCCCTCGTTTCGGACAATGAGTTTCTTAGACCGTTCAATGTCAAAAGTTGAAGGGTGAATTGTTACACGACTGTATACGTGCTACATCGTACCGTCGCGTCTAAATCGGCATCTTGGAACACAGGTCACCCAGGCTCACTGTGTATGTCACCTACGGGTTTCATAACGTGAGTAAATATAGAGGACATATGGGGCGAAGTTAAGGTCTAGAAATTTGCTAAAAAATAGTAATAAAAATCGATGAAACTTACCATGTGGCGAGTTACGTTGTTGTCCTTAATATCATGACACGAAGTTTCTTGAGAAATAGTCTCCTCATTAGTATATACTATGTAGGAAAGCTGAGGAGATCAGCCAATGTAGGAAAGATGTGACGATCAGCAAGAATCGCTTTAAGGTTACCCTGTTAGTAGCTATAACGGTGCGCCTAGGTGCGCCCCCTGGGTGCGACAGCCCAAGCCCTTTTAACAGGTACTCAGTTATCGCGCTAAGTAACAACTCCCCTTGTGGGTTTTTCCTGGAAACAACTACATAGTTTTTGCGTAAATATTTGTGGACTCGTGGTTCTGTCTGATGTTGCGGTGGTTTATAATCCTCTGTAATTATAAAGATCTTGAAAATTACTGCGCAAGGAATCTTAAACTGATTCGTGTGATTATCCATTTGGAGTTTTATTTACGAGTAATAACTTGAAACTTGACATTTCAAATATCCGTTGCCTTGCCTGTTTAGGCTCATAAAGAGAGCAGCATAGAAAAAGATTGGACTGGCTCTTCGCTCGCAATTATTATCATCTGTTGTTGTGGCACAGTAAAAGGCGAACTAAAAAGCCTTCAAAACACGTCAAAACCGCTCAAAATTTCACTTCTGAGGCAAATGGACAACAATACCCCAGGCAAGATAATACGACATTTATTTAGAATTGATCCATGCACAATGTTCCTATCGATGATGTGTCGCTGTTGATAAAGCAAACGGTAAATCCAACACACTTGCTATAAACTTATAAAGAGTTACAGTGGACTAATTAATGTTCTCGTCATCCTTTAAACTAGTCGTTTCAGGAATGAAAGTACGCGAAGCTCACGTACAATGATATATATGTATATCAAAAATCCTCTTCTATGAGCATAGCCCAAGCCAGATATATCTACGATATACAGATATATAGAACAGAGTTATTCAGAACTAGAAGGCTGTTTGATCATAGTAGCCTTCAAGCTCATTCCGCACAAGAACTCGCCACTGCCTTCAAAAACAGTGCACTCCACTATTTTGAAGACGTAACTATTGCCTTCTTCCAGCGCTGGACGCAACCTCTCTACCCATAGCCAATAATCTTCAAAGTATTCGCTATCTTCAGGCCCAGTGATTCCTTTCCAAACTTTTGTACCGTATTTTTGACGGACCGTGCTTGAAATTTCTGCCAGTGTTGAGGCGAAAGGGTTCCCTTCGTCGATCTCTAAAACATCCCTCATGGTTCCTTTCAATGGCATCTTGCGTTCTCCCTGGTAATGCGCCTCAAACTCCTTTCCTTTAAGCGGATTGTAAATTCTTACAAGTTCAGTGGCAATTTCTGTAAAGTTTTCCATATTCTTTCGAACGAAAACTGAGATTGGACGTTTGGTCTGGTTAATTGAGTGGCCGCGTGGTGTGCGTAAAGACCCTCTAGGTAGGAAGTTCCTTATCTCATCAAGTGACAGAGTTTTTATGGAGGACGGTATTCGGACCTAATCGTAATATAAAATATGCCATCGCCAGGCTCTTCAGTCGTCCAGCCTTGTTAGCAGATGAGTTTCATACTAAATACTCACCTGAAAAAGTTTAATTTAAAATACGCGTTGAAAAGCCATGCGAAAGAACACACAAGAAGAGGCTAACGAGGTGAACAATACAAAAGCTCTCTCGTCATCAACCACAGAAATCTTTAAAAGCTTAATTCATCCGTGAAATGTCGACCGTCAGCATGCACTCTGCGTAACCACTCCTTTTGTAGCTACCTTTTCCGGGAATAGTAAAAGCGTGGGTCTTTCTAAGAAATCACCGTGACAAACAACCAGATTATAGAATTATGACTATTACTGTATAAACGTAAGAACTATGCAAGTGGCATATTTACCCCTCAGAAACCAATATCAGAATCTTGATTGGGATTTTATAGGGAAAAGTCTCATAGCAAGTAGCAAATAGAAACGACCGCTATTTCACCCATTTCTGGCGAAACCTTGTGTAAGATAGAGTTACTAATAACGAGATCCGAGACTTCTAGAACGAAACTTACCGTGAAGTTTAATTTATCGGTTTTCGCTAGGACTCTTCTTGTTTGTATCCTCGAGTTCTTATGAGGGGGCTAAGACGTCGCAAGGAAGATAACTCAAAAAAGATAGAGGCAAGTCAAAGCTTTACCATTCATTTATCAAACCTAGTAAATTATAAAGATGTTCAGTTTATTAACAGCTATAGTTTTAACTTCACTTTCGAGTATGTTCAACTTTGCATTTATTGCTGCAGCAACTTTGACCGACGGAACAGTCCGAATCAAGAGCGCAGAGTGAACCTAAACAATCCGATCCGAAAATACATTTATGATCGCAACAAACCTGATCTTCAAGGCAGGAAAAAGAGGAGTGACAACTCTTTCCAACAGCATCATAAAGGACAGAGACAAGGAGAATTAACCGCACAGCTTGAAACGCAGAAAATGCAGCCATGACTCCCTAGTAGTTATCTTTCTACCTAGCTTAATAAACTTTCGTTGAGTGTGCAATGTGGTTTTTAAAGATTCCTTTCAATCGCCTACTGGTTAATCAGTAGTAAATAACAGCATAGATAAGCATAGAATAAGTGGTTTACTTTTTTCACCGTAGCGATTGAGACGAAGCCAGATTTCTCGTGATTGTGCTTGTGTTTTTGGGTTTGCTTGAGACTTATGTAATAAGAATAGGCCTTATCAAGCGGGCCGGCCGGGTGAAACAGCAGAATTAGGAGAATATCTTGTGATTTGCACAAACCGGAGCATGATTGTACATAACCCACATGTGATGCTGATAAGGTCAATATTCACGACGTTGGTCGGGCCTGATCGGATTTGTGCTACCATACGACGTTTCACAATCTTTATAAATAACAACCTTTCCAAGTCTTTCCGGTGTAGCAAAACTGAGAAGGATGCGCGTATTATGGAGTTTGGTTGTTTCAGGGCTAATCAACCGAGGAAAAGCTGTCTGATATCGCTGATCAAACCAAGAGTCCGCAGTGGAGCAGAGTGCCGGCCAACCTTGTTGGTGTGACGGTGACATCTGTTTGGATGGGTTTACCTGTGGCATATCTTTTGTTATCGTGACTGCACAGGAACCTACGATCCATTGCTCCTTTTTCCCGCTGTCAGGAGAGACTTTTTGTTTTTTGTGGTTGGCAATTGCTGCAAACGCACGTGAAGAAGAAGTAAGCGAAAGTGATCGTCCCAAAAAGGCTAGAAAACGTGAGCAACAAAACCAAAGCGAAGAGAGACGAAAACATCTTTGGTTGTAGTCTGTGTAGTCTCTTCAGTCTGATTGTCAAATAGAATTTTCAAAGACCTTGGATTGAGAAGCACGTGGATGGAAACCACAGGTAGCCCAAGTTCACGAGAGTTATTGCGTGCCGGGGTATAACAATTTCAACAATCACTATTTCGGAACCCATAGTAACAGAAATACTTAAGAATTCCTTTCTTTGTCCCTTCGTTATTAATTGCAGGTTATGAGTATTTTGGGCCGTTTCAGAGCGATTCCAGCGAGTTTAATTTAGTCGTGCCTTTTGCTTGTTACAAAAACTCTTCACTGACTCTTAATGTTATGCAACAACCGATTCCTGCTCACTCGTGAGCTATTTAGTAGCTGCCACCCGTGCGCTATATTAGTTGACTTTTACCACTCACGGGGTCCAGTCGATACTGGAAGTGCAGTTGGAAATTAAATAAACCAGTTAAGATTTTAAAAACATTGATTGACTAATTTACAAAAATTAATCTTGATACGGAATTTACTCATGGACACTAATACATACAGGCAACCATGAACATGAAGCAGGAGAAGAAAGCGAACGGCAATCGATCAACGAATATGTTTGTAGGAGTTTTACTTTTCACAGTGTTTTGTGCTAGGTTAGTTTTTTTATGAATTTACACGTGATACTCAACTGCTTATATGGACCATAAGCACCTGTTAATTTGCACAATATTAGAATTAATCATTATAATTATCATCATCACTATTATTTACTATATTTACAAGGCTCGACGACAATTTTTCATTGTCTACACGCTTTGAGACTAGAGAAATGACGTCAAAATGTTTAAACAAGTGGAACCTCGGGACGCCAGCAAGTGGTTTCACTATATAATGCTGGTCATAGGCTCCTGGTGTTGAACATTAAGTGCAGCCAAGCAATGCAAAATTGTTGTCTATTTGTTTTTTTGTTTTACGTTAGCATTGAAAGCTTTGCACGTCCAATTTTGACGAAGATTTGTCAAAGAAAGCGCAGCAGAGACAGAGAAAAACAAATTGCCCCACCATGACTTCATTTCCGTCGTCAAGATGCTCTCATAGACTTGTTTTACAAACTCCCCGCCTCCTATTTTACAAAATTTCGTCATTTTCCGAATTCGATATAGCTCGATATAGCTGAAACAGTACCGGGTTGTATCCGATGCAATTGGCAGTACTCGGACGTATTAGTCCCGGTTAAGAACTGCAGAAAACTACTAATACGTAGTTACTCGTCAGACGTACGCATAACAGAGTTCCGGTTCCGGTTTGCATTCCGTTTAATTGTCTTTTGTGTGAGTGTGTCAGGACGTTTCAGTTACTGATCGTTACTTGAAAAAAAAATTACATGCAGTTTAATCAACCATGCAGTTCACTGGAATATTTTTTACTATATTTACAGTGGTGTTGCAATAGCGTGCCTTTCAACCCAAATTTTTCTTTCTCGTGACGAGAGAAAAAACTTTTTGCCATGATTTAACGAGTTCTTCATGCTTTTAGTATTTCAATTTAGTTGTATTAGTAAATTGTAACGCGGGTCACATCTCATTTATTCGATATTTACTGCGCCAGACTGTCGAGATTGGCCTCACTACGAATTTAGTAACTCTTAGGAACCAAGAGCCATAATGGCTCTTGTTAGGAACCAAAAAGCACGTACTGATTCTGAAATTCTAGTCCTTCGATCGAGTTACTTGTGGTCTCACGGTAAGATGATGTCGCAGATGTCGTACTGAAATGTTTAGTCAGTTTTAATTTGACAACTTTGATGTGCCTTAATGATGCTTTGATTAAGTAACAAACAATACAGTACATTGAGCATAATACACTTTTCGCCTACATGTGCAGTTTTGATTTTCTGTTCGTTGTTTCAATAAGAAATATTTTTGGGTCGGAAATGCAAAGTGGTACTGATTTCCATGTTTACCTTCCGGTTGGGCAGAGAATTTGAGTCCAAACAACTACACTGACGTCAAAAGTTACTTCACCTGACGTATATAGGGTTTAAGGTAATAACTCACTCAATGACGTTTTAATGATGATCATGAACTATCAACAAACTTGTATAGGAATAAACATTTTTAAAAAACTGATTCGTGTTTACATTTCGTGTGTCGCATTTTTGAACTGAAGCGTCTTCTCCAGTGGAAACTTGCTTGGGCAAAAGAGCGTGCTAAATATACAGTAAATATTCAATCAATCGATCGATCGATCTCGAGCAAATTTTAAGAGTCATCTATGCTTGATTAAGGCATCGTCTTTTATTTAACATTAACCATAAAAATTATTAGGAATCAACAAGGAAGAATAATAGTATTCTCTCTTGGAATCAACAGCTCGCCTTGGCAAATAAAAAAATAAAAAAATAAATAACATTTAAAAGTAAAACCAAATATTTAAAAAAGGTGTCCTAGTTTACTTTCAGTAAAAGAGTTTTACTTGCGTAATCTGCGGTTTCAATACAATTGGTTTACGTAAAAACAATATAGCAAATGTTTTAACGGTGCTAAGTACGCATCGTCCTGAAAATTCAGTGGCAACTGAGTCGGTCGAGTGATTCTTGTTTCTAATTTACAAAGAGAATCCTCTCACTTTATAACTATAATTTTTCAGCTCAATGATGTTTAGCCAGACGTGGCACACAAACAAATACCTAAGCAATGCCTTAGGTACTCCTAGGCCGGAAAATCCGATTATGATTAGCAAGAGTTGGTGATCGCGTTTACCACCATTAAACTTGAACTTG